AGCAGCAGCAGCAGCGGCGGCGGCGGCGGCGGCGGTGAAAACGGCGTGTTCAGAGCTGCGCTGCAGCGGGCGGCAGACGCCCTGCAGCAGCAGCAGCAGCGGGCCGCTGCTGCTCCTCAACGAGGAATGCAGCAGCAGCAGCAGCAGCAACACGAGAGAAAGACACGCTACCAGCAGCAGCAGCAGCAGCAGCAAAGCGAGGAAAGGAGACGCAAAAGGCACAACTGCAGATACACCGCGGCCAGCAGCAACAGCCTGTTTGTACACCCGAAGTTGTAACTATAAACAATCTAATTTATTGCAATTTAACTAATTTAATTTAATTAATTTAATTTAATTAATTAATTTAATTAATTTAATTTAATTAAAGAAATACCAAGTGGGTCCCAGAGGCCGAAAGGCTAAAAGCTGTTGTGGCTGTGGGGCCGTGGCAGTCCAGCGAGAAGCGGCCATACAGTGGCAGTTCTGCTGCTGCTGCTGCTGCTGTTGAATCTGCTGCTGCTGCTGCTGCTGCTGCGTCTGCTGCTGCTGCGTCTGCTGCGCCTTCCCGCCAGCCGGCAAGCAGCGGGGAGAGCCACGGGTCCAACTCCTCATACAAGCCTGTGTTCACCAGTTTGCTGCTGCTGCTGCTGCTGCTGCTGCTGCCCGCAGCAGCAGCAGCATCTGCTGAAGGCTCTCTCTTTGTGAGAGAGTCGAGAGCCCTGCTGCTGCTGCTGCTGGCGCGCGTGCTGCTGCTGTTGCTGCGCTTCCTGCTGCTGCTGCTTCTGCTGTTCTTTTTGCTGCGCCCTTTCGGGTGCAGCAGCAGCTCGCCCCCGAAGTTGGAGGGAAGGCCCATAGCAGCAAGAGCAGCAGCAGCAGATTCGTCGACAACAACATCATCTTCTTCGCTTTCCTCAGACTCTGCTGCTGCTGCTGCTGCTGCTGCTGTTGCTGTTGCCGTGGGAAGGTTCTCCGGGTTTTCTTCTTTGCAGCTTCTGAGGCCCCGCGGTGCTGCTGCTGCTGCTGCTGTGCTCAATGGCCGCGGGCCGAAGCTGTCGTCGTCGCTGCTGCTGCTGTCATCTGCAGCAGCTACTGGGCGTCGTGCTGCTGCTGCTGCTGCTGCAGCTGCTGCATGCCGCTGCTGCTGCTGTCGGTCCTTAGCTGCTGCAGCGTAGCTGCTGGTTGCGCGCAGCTGCCGCATTTCATCTTCGTCGCTCGACATTGTGCTGCAGGTGCAGCTGCTGCTGCTGTTGCTGTTGCTGTTGCTGCTGCTGCTGCTGCTTCTGTCGCCGCAGCTGCTGCTGCAGCTGCTGCTGCCTTTTTGTCTGCTGCTTCTGCTTCCTGTGCTGCTTCGTGGCTGCTGTGTTGGTCCTCAAAGTGTAGCTGGCCGCTCTTCCCGACACTGCTGCTGCTGCTGCTGCTGCTGCTGCAGCTCGGAAGTGTTGCCTGAATGCACGAATCGCTGCAGCAAGGCGGAAGCAGCAAAAAAGAAAAACAAAAAAGGAAGGATTTGGAAGTTTATGAGGCTCAACAACTGCTGGCGCTGCTGCAGCAGCTTCTGCTGCATGCGCAGGAGCTCAGCAGCAGCAGCAGCGGCTGCTGCTGCTGCCGCAGGTCC